ACTGCCACCTCCACCTGCAGGGCTGAAGCCATTCTTCCACCTCAGGCTCCTGAGTAGCTGGAACCACAAGGAGGAGCAAGCTAATTTAAAGATTTTTTTGTAGAAACGAGGTCTCACTATTTGCCTAGGCTGGTCTCAAACTCTTTGGGTCAAGGAATTCACCCACCTCACCTAAGTGTTGGGATTACCAGCCTAAATCTTCATCTCATGCTACAGATAATTAGTTGTAACAGATTAGCTAGTTTACTACAGATATCTGGTTGAAGCTAGTATGTGGAACCATAATCTACCCGGTGTGAAATTCTTTTTTTTTTTTTTTTTTTGAGACGGAGTTTCGCTCTCGTTACCCAGGCTGGAGTGCAATGGTGCAATCTCGGCTCACCGCAACTTCCACCTCCTGGGTTTAGGCAATTCTCCTGCCTCAGCCTCCTGAGTAGCTGGGATTACAGGCACACGCCACCATGCCCAGCTAATTTTTTGTATCTTTAGTAGAGACGGGGTTTCACCATGTTGACCAGGATGGTCTTGATCTCTTGACCTCGTGATCCACCCGCCTCAGCCTCCCCGGTGTGAAATTCTTAATTCTGGTTGAAAGAATGCATCAGTAGTAAAGTTAATTGGGGGCAACTGTTTCTAGCTATTTAGAGAAACTCTGACTTTCAGGAAAATGAAAAACACACTCTTCCTAATTCTCAATTCTTGATGTTTTTGAATGTGGATTTAGGAATGTAGATTACTAGATGAACTTGGGTACAAGTTAAATAGAGATAACCAGATAAAAGCACAAAGTTGAAGCCAGAAGGCTATTACAATTATTCCAAAATGTTAGTCTGAATTCTCGTTGGAATAGGATGTTGGTAGTATGCGGCACTCCGATGTTACTTACATGGAGATGGCTAGAGATATCTAGAATAAGTAGTTGAGGTTAGGAGCTGAAATAAAGTTTCTCCAGAGTCTATATTCATTTTTCCTGTCAATTTAGAAATTTAAATAGTACATAGTACTATTAAATTTCTGTATGACTTTGATTTTCCCCTTCCAGGATTCCAATACTTATTTTAATTATCACCAGTTACTTTGAGTTAAGTAATGAAATTGGCATCACCAGATCTCTATACTACTAGCTCATTATAAGAAGAAGAAATAAGAAGTTGATTGACATCCAATTTGGGGGGAGAAAAAAAGAAAAAGAAGTTCGGCTGGCAAATCATGATTTTTTTCAACTTCATGACTTCATTTTTTTCTAGTTGTTTCTATTTAAATCTATTTCACTACTGACACAGGTACCACCAGATATCTGTAGTATAAACTCGTTATTTCACACAAAAAAAAAAAAACAAGAAATTGAGTTTGTGAAGACTGTGCTTTCAAACATCACTGTACTCGAGCCTAGGCAACACAGTGAGACTCTGTCTCAAGAAAGAAAGGAAAGGAAGGAAGGATGAAAGGGAAGAAAGAAAGGACAGGATAGAAAGAAGAAAGAAAGATAAAGGAAGGAAAAGAAAAATAAGAGAAAGAAAGGAAGAAAAGGAAAAGAGAAGAAAGCAAAATAGAAAAGACAGAAATGGCCGGGAGCAGTGGCTCACGCCTGTAATCCCAGCACTTTGGGAGGCCGAGGCGGGCAGATCACGAGGTCAAGAGATCGAGACCATCCTGGCCAACATGGTGAAACCCTGTCTCTACTAAAAATACAAAAATTAGCTGGGCGTGGTGGTGCGCGCCTGTAGTCCCAGCTACTCGGGAGGCTGAGGCAGGAGAATTGCTTGAACCCGGGAGGTGGAGGTTGCAGTGAGCCGAGATTGCACCATTGCACTCTAGCCTGGCACCTGGTGACAGAGCAAGACTCTGTCACAAAAAAAAAAGAAAGAAAAATGAAAGAAAGAAAGAAAGAAAGTCATTTATGAGAATATTTTCTCATCTCCCTGTCTTTGATGCAGGACAGGCAAGCCCCCAGATTGGGATTTAGCCCGCGTGGAGGGTGAGCAGGTGGTGAGATAGAGCAACTTGTATTGAACCAGTAATGCTCCTTGCAGAACAGCACTAACCCACAGGCAGTGCACCCAGAGCCAGCAGCGGATGGGCTGTTGGCAGCTGTATTTATAACCACTTTTAATTATGTGCTAATCAAAGGGCAGATTATTCAGAACTTTCTGGAAAAGGAGCCAGGAGTTTCCCGAAAATACAAGGTAACTTTCTGCCTACTGCCAAGTCCCATTGCCATGGCAGTTGTAAATTGTCTTTATACTGAGAGTGTCTTGATGCTAATGGGCAGTGAAGACAACTAGAGGTGGCTTTTATCATCATCAGCCGGATTTGGCTGGCTTCTTCACTGTACCCCGGTTTTGGGGGATTTTTTGAGGGAGTCTTACTGTGTCATCCAGGCTGGAGTACAAGGGCCCAATCTCCACTCACTGCAACCTACATTTCCAGGTTTCAGGTGATTCTTCTGACTCAGCCTCCTGAGTAGAGTAGCTGGGATTACAAGCTCCCGCCACTACTCCTGTGTAATTTTTTTTTTTTTTTTCAGTAGAGACGGGGTTTCACCGTGTTGGGCAGGCTGCTGCTCTGGAACTCCTGGCCTCAAGTGATCCCCCAACCTTGGCCTCCCAAAGTGCTTGGATTATAGGTGCAAGCCACCTCGCCCTGCCGACTGCATCCAGTTTTTACCAGATCCTGTTTCCATAAATGGGAGTCCTGACCTTGTGACCAAAAACCAAGTTCTGCTGGCATCGTACCTCATCTTCTTTTCCATATTAATAGTTATATCCAATTAGCTAGTGTCCTGGGTACAAATAGTTACCTACAGCACTAACTCATTCTATCTACAATAGATCACACTGTAGTGCTGAAAAGAAAGAATATTGATTCAACTTCCTGGATTGATCGACTTTTCTTCAGCAGAGAATTTAGAATTGAAAAGAACGTGATTGGCAACTTCCTGCCTTCAACTAGGTATTCTTGTTATTTCTGGTTATTTCTAGGTAAATGATTAGATGATACTGAGTCACAGAGATGTTACGTAACCTGCTCTAGGTCACCCACTTGGGAAAAGTCCACAGCTGAGATTTGAACCTATCCTGAGTACTATCTTGAAACAGAGGATGTTTGCTATCAGTGCTATAAGCTATAATTTTCATTTGTACTTAGTAGCTGGTTGTCTATAGAAAAACTGATTCCAACAAGAAACAAAAGTGTAGTATTGAGGACAATGATTAATTTCCTGAATTCAACCACTTTTCTTCAGCAACCTGGTTATCCTAGATATCATCATTTATCCCTTGGTTACTATTGAGGGAGGTACCACTAGATATCTATGGCACTCATTTGATATTCAAACAAGTGAAGGACATTTTGAGTTGAATGGTACTTTCATTTCTGTTTATTTCTAGTTAACTAATTACAAATGAATAATAATTATAGCAGAATAGCAAATGTTATTGATCACATCCTCTGTGTCAAAGATGGTACTGAGAGATGAGTTCAAATCTCAGCTTTGGACATTTCCCAAGTGAGTGACTTTGAGCAGGGTATTTAACATCTCAGTGACTCAACAACGCCACCTGTAAAATGACAGTAATAGCACATCTATGTTTATAGGGTCATCAAGAGGATTACATGTGTTAATATAAACAAATGAATCAGACCATTGCCTAGAACACACTAAGAACCAGTAAGTGTGCGCTACTATTAGTATCATCTCAATTAATTTCCACAACAGCTCCATGTGGCAGGTATTATTATTACCCCATTTCACAGATGAGAAAATTGAAGCACAGGGAGAAAAATCCACTCACCAGGTTAGCTAGCTAGCAAATGACAAACATAGCTATGTGCAGATGCTAGCATTCAGACTTCAGAATTCCTGCCATCATAAATCTACGATTTCAAACCCATTATTGGTGCCTATTTTTTCTTGGAATGAGGCTCAATTAGGACGTAGCATTTGCAAGAAATGAATCAACCCACAACCTGCATCTTCCTGAGGCACACTTCTTGAAGGGAGAACCATAGAGCTCCCAGTCAACCCGGGCTCTTTTTAATTTTACGTTTATCAGTAGGGAGCAAAAGGTTAGAAAGATAGTTCTAGACAAAGTAGGAAAGGCGAAGCAGAAGGATGGCAAGGAGGGTGAGTAACAGAAGCGGGTGAGGAGCAAGGGAAGGTGGGAACTAACCCAAGTCCACACAGTCTGACTAGCACAGGGAACACACGCGCTTCTGCAGAGGGCCTGCGAGCTAAGGTGCAGGAGCAGAGCAGAGCTCAGCAGACATTGCACACTCTGCAGCCGCATCAAGAGCCAAAGCAACGGTCACCTGCAGTGTAAGTCTCTAAACACTGGGCGGGGTTCTACACTTGTACTCTGGCGTGGGGTACTTCAGACTTTTGCAAGGGGCGTGTTAGGCCTTGCAGCTTGCATCTGAGCATCCACAGCACTCTGGGAAACCCAGCCCCAAACCCAGGCTTCCCCAGACCCCTTGGAGAGTATGACCCGCTCAACTTTCTGGACGTTGCTGACAAAACCTAGCAGGCACCCTCCGACCTCCTCATTCATCTTAATTACTGTCCGATTTGTGAATTTTGGTTGCGAATGGAACATAACCAGAGTCTCGCGTGTTCGTCACCAACTACCCACAGGGGAGGGTGGTGCAACAGCCCACGCCACAAGGTGCACTGCCTTCAGGGTGCTGCGTCTTCACCCTGGAGAAGCCTTAGGCCGGCCGCGTGCCCGGAGGGCTGGACAGAGACGAATTCTGCAAAGCTTGTCCAAGGGCTCTGGGGCTAGATTGGGTCTCGCTCCTCTGCCCCTTCTCTTGCCCCAAATCTGTTGGCACCAGGCAGCTTGGTCTCTTCCTCTTGGCAGTCACCCTGCCCGGGGTGCGAGTGGCCAACGGAACCACAAAATGGAGCTTGGGTTTCCCCACATGCCCGCCCCCTCCCCTCGTCCTGACCAGGAGCCTGCTGCTGACTTTAGGGCCTCTACCCAGCCGACCCAGCCGACCCAGCCGACTCAGCCACTCAGCCGACTCAGCCGCCAGCGCATGCCGGGAAGTTCCCATGCCACACACACACACAAACACCCCCGCAATGGGAAGCGACCAGAGCAGCAGTCTGCTCGCCACGTGCAGGCCTCAGACCGGAAGTCCACGTGCCAGAACCGGGACCAGGAGCCAGAGGGGTCCCAGCGCATAATTTGTGGAGGCTTCATCCACCGGGCTCCCAGATGGCGTCTCAGCCCAGGTCCGGACACAAAGATACTGGCGACCTCGGTCTGGGCTTTGTGTTCCATGAGCTTCAGGAAGACAACGGTCAGTGCCTATCTGGGGACCCGGACCAGTCATTTGGTGAACTCTAGCAAAGGAACGTTCCTGGGGAGAGGAGCCTGGACCCAAGGCTGCTGTGCCACCTCCCTCAGGCCCAGGGTCTAGGCCGCTCTTTCCCCGGGCCCAACACCCTGATATCTCTCTCTCTCCTCTCTCCTCCCTGGTATCTCTCTCCTCTCTCCTCCCTGATATCTCTCTCCCTCCTCCTTCCTCCCGCCTGCCTGCCCCCTCCCCTCTCCCCTCTCCCCTCTCCTCACTCCGCATTCCCCACTCCCCGGGCCCAAAGCCCTGATATCTCTCTCTCTCCTCCCTGATATCTCTCTCTTCCCTATCCCTCCCTTCCTCCTCCCCTCTTCCCCCCTCCCCCTCCCCCTCTGCACTTCCCCCTCCCCTCTCCCAGGGCCCAATGCCCTGATATATCTCTCCCTTCTCTCCCTTCTGATGTCTCTCTGCCTCGTCACTCCTCCCTCCTGCCTCCTGCCTCCTCCCTCCCCTCTGTCTTCCCCCCTCCCTACTCTCCACTCCCCTTTCCTCAGCCCAATGCCCTGATATCTCTCTCCCCTTTCCCTCCCTCCCCCCTCCCCCTCTCCCCCTCTGCACTTCTCCCTCACACTGCCCCCATCCCGGGGCCCAATGCCCTGATATCTCTCTCTCCTCTCTCCTCCCTGATATCTGTCTCCCTCCTCCCTCTTCCCTCTCCCTCTCCCCCTACTCCCCCCCCTTCCCCAAGCCCAATGCCCTGATATCTCTCTCTCTCCTCTCTGATGTCTCTCTTTTCCCTCTCCCCCTTCCCCTTCCCTCTCCCCTTTTCCTTCTCACCCCTCCCCCTCTCCCCCTCCCTGGGCCCAATGTCCTTATATCTCTCTTCTCTCTTCCCTGGTATCTCTCTCCCCTCCCCCCTCCCTCCCCCCTCCACTTCCCACTCCCCCTTTCCCCCCTCCTCACTCCCCCCCACCCAATGCCCTGATATTTCTCTCCCTCTCCCCTCTCCTCTCTCTCCTCGCCCTCTCCCCCATCTCCTCTCCCCTCTCCCCTGTCTCCTCCCCCTCCCCCTCCCCTCCCCTCTCTCCCCTCTCCTCTCTCCCTTCTCTCCTCTCCCACCTCTCCCCCACCCCCTCCCCCTTTCCCCTCTCTCCCCCTCCCCCCTCCTCCCCCCTCCCCTATCCCTACTCCCCTCTCCCCCCTCCCCTCTTTCCCCTTTCACCTCTCTTCCCCCTCTCCCCCTCCCTTCTCTCCCTTCTTTCCCTTCTCTTCCTTCTCTTCCCTCTCTTCCCCCTCTCCCCCCCCTCTCTTCTCTCCCCTCTCTCCCCTCGCTCCCCTCTCTCCCCTCTCTCCCCTCTCTCCCCTCTCTCCCCTCTCTCCCCTCTCTCCCCTCTCTCCCCCTCTCTCCCCTCTCTTCCCTCTCTCCCCTCTCTCCCCTCTCTCCCCTCTCTCCCCTCTCTCCCCTCTCTCCTCTCCTGTCTCTCTCCCTCTCTTTAGGGAGGTCTCTCCCTTCCACTTTGCCTTTCCTATTTTACAGATGTAAAGGCTATAGAGACCTCGGTGACTGAAGCGGTAGGAGACAATGAGAAGAAAATACGGCCTGAACCGGAGCAGGGAGCGGGGGCAGAAGAAGAAAGTCACGTCTGCCCTGGAGAGGCTGACCCCATGTTCACCAAGAACCTGATGAAGGCCTGCGGTGGCCACCAGGAGTCCTGGCAGCCACAGCCTGAGGAGTCGGCCCAGGACTCCTCCTCCTCTGAGCCGCAGCCCCAAGATCAGCAGCATCCCTTTGTCCCTGTTGGATTCAGTGGGTTGCAGCTGAAGGAGCTAGAGAGCATTTTCCGGCGCTCTCAATATCCCGACGTGTTCCCTAGGTAAGTGGCTTGCTCTGGAGCTGCCCAGTTCTGCAGGACGCGAGAACTCTTCCTGGGACGCCTTTGGCTCTGCCCTAGTCTCCTTCCCTCCCCTCCATAGTCAAAAGCTACATGTGGGGCCCAAGGCCTCTGGAGTAGGCCTGCTCTTGAGCTGTGGGGTGGAGGCATGCCTACTGAGCATTAAGGTATTTTTCCCACAATATAGGAACAAATCAAGCCAGGAAACTTTGTCCAGTCTCCTGTTTTGGAAATGTTTTCTTGGAATCGTAATTGACATCGGGGTGAGGAGAGTGAGTAGTGCAGGGTTGGATCTTGCCTTTATTGAACATTTTAACAATTTGGTTACTGTGGATTTTGGTTTTCGTTGGTCTTGGTTTTTTAAATAATGCCTCAACAATTAGTAATCTTTGAGGTCTTTCAGTGGCTCACGCCTGTAATCTCAACACTCTGGGAGGCTGAGGCGGGAGGATCACTTGAGTCTAGGTGTTCCAGGCCAGACTAAGCAATATAATGACACTCCATCTCTACATAAAAATTTAAAAAATTAGACCGGCATGGTGGCATACACCTGTAGTCACAGCTACTCCAAAGGATCGCTTCAGCCCAGGTGTTCATGGGTTCAGTGAACTGTGATCGCATCACCCCCATCCAGCCTGGACAACAGAGCTAGACCCTATCTCTAAAATTAAATAGATAGATAGACAGTTAGAGAGACAGACATATCTGTCTTGATTCGTGAGTGTCTTAGCGCTCTCTTAAATTCTGCACACCAAGGACAGCCATCCCTAAGGCAATCCTAAGGCTAGACATCACAGGAACATATGCAGGACAGGTTGGGAGGATAGACATTCTCAAACAGGCATGAAATGTTCATCAGTGTATTTCATTTCATTTGCAATTCTTAAAAACTTAAATACTGAACTTTTGTGGTTTTCTTCCCCAGAAAGCAGCTGGCAATATGCATGGATGTGAGTGAAGCCAAAGTGGAAGCCAGTAAGCCTGATGAAAGCAATTGATCAGAGTAGCCACTCTGACACCTGCTTCAGTCCTTGGATACCTTTGTCTTACACATTCTCCAGTTGGCCTGTTTTTGTTGCCTTTTCTATGTTTGCAAAGTGAGTTCTGAGCTTTAGAGGGTGAAAAATGGGATAGGGAAACCCCAGCTTATGGAAATTTCCCATTACTGGAGGGAATGTGCTTTCTAATAGAAAAATAAAACATACCAAACTGCTACTTCTATTTCCTGTACAAAATTGAGTATAAATAAAGTTGACTTCTTTCTAACGATGGTATCCTTTAGAGAATACTTCTGTGTGGAGGTATGTTGAGACAGACTGACTTAGAAGTATGCAAATTAATTCACCAAGGAACTAGGATGTGAGAAGTTTCAACTATATTTAAAATATTTAAGCCAGGGTATGTTCTTAGCTCAATGAGTGAATGTATAAATATTCAGGCACTGGAGTAAGGGAATAAGTCACACACGCAGCGAACACACTAGGAGTAATCAATGTATGTTTAGATTCACTGAGACTGATGGGAAGGAGAGAGCTTAAAAGTCCATGTGCCTGGTGGTCCCGCTGTGGTTTTAAGTGTCTGATGAAACCATGTAGAAAGTGGCAGCCCTAAATTTTAATTTTCTGGAATACTTCGATATATCTGCCTAAAAACACTGCCAAATATGCTCACATTACTATGGGGGTTGGGGGAGACAGGTTTGCAAACTGGAAATTTGTCTAAAAATTGGAACAGACAAGAATGACTCTGAATAAGGTTCCACTCACCTAAGAAGGGTGAAAAGGTTAAAGAAGAATTGCATACACTTAAATATATACCTTGAAAAAATGGTACAAATGGAACTTTATGAGTGAATATTCTCTTGAGGAATCTCTAACAACTAAGGAATTATTTTAGTGGGACTGTCTAGGTGGGTTTTAATGAAATTTGTTTGTTTTGATCAAAAGATTACTAAGATTACTTGAGTTTTATTAAGAGCAAATTTTCCAAAACAAAAAGAAAATCCAAGATGAGGTTATGAGCCTCACTTTGCAGTTCGTGTGAGTGCAGCGATGGAAAGGAGTGGCAGAACTGGTGCAGGTGACTCTTTTGTCCCAGCTAGACACAAACTCTCCAGGTTCCGTATAACCAAGCCTTTTTTTTTTTAGACCATCTCGTTAACTCTCCAGAATTTTCAGACCAGGAGAGGTGGCCCATGCCTGTAATCCTAGCACTTTGGGAGGCCACTGAGCGACAAAGCAAGACTCTTGTCTCAGAAAAAAAAAAAAAAAAAAAAAAAAAAAAGAGCACTCGAGAGAGAAAGAGGACAAATGACCCCTTAGACATCCTTGAGGAAACCCGATTAAAAATCCAACCTGCTCCTACTGATTTTGTCACTTCAGACTGAAGATGAAGTTTTCAAATGGGAGGGGGCATTCCCCTAGTATAACTTTAAATGGAGCCCACCTTATTCCTTGCTCAACTATTCCCACGACCAAGATGACACTACACCTAATGAAGAGGGTGCAGAGGCAGCTGGACACCACCCCAGTGGTCCACTGTCAGGATACTGACATTTCTTCATCTTGTTATGGAGTGTAGCATTAACAGCCGGTACTGAGTGTGATGTGTCCACTGGACTCACATGCAGGAGCTGTCAAAGCACCTTAAAGAATATTCAAAATGGGAGTACAGAGACAAAGCAATAAGTATAATCCAAAACAGAACTGAAGGGAAGGAAGAGAAAAGGGTACAACATTAACTTTCCTAAAACATTTTTCCGATAAGGAAATAGCTTCTCGGCTGGGTGCGGTGGCTCAACCCTGTAATCCCAGCACATTGGGAGGCTGAGGCGAGTAGATCACGAGGTCAAGAGATTGAGACCATCCTGGTCAACATGGTGAAACCCCATCTCTACTAAAAATACAAAAATTAGCTGAGCACGGTGGTGCATGCCTGTAATCCCAGCTACTCAGGAGGCTGAGGCAGGAGAATTGCCTGAACCCAGGAGGCAGAGGTTGCAGTGAACCGAGATTGCACCATTGCACTCCAGCCTGGGTAACAAGAGCTAAACTCCATCTCAAAAAAAAAAAAAAAAAAAGGAAATAGCTTCTCCCAGTGGAGTTTATCAATGGCATAGAGTTACATGTTGTGGGGTTTTTTCTTATGATATTAATTGTTTGATACACTAAACTTATCCCTTTACTGCAGGGCTAAGGGCCCCACAGGGTCATAGGGTGACCCTTATGCTGTGCTGAGGCACAGGATCTGAGAAATAAAGAGACAGGACACAGAAGTACAAAGAAAGCGCAGCTGGGCTGAGGGGGGCCACGCCACCTATATGCGGAGACAGGCGAAGGCCCGAATGTCCAGAAGCGTCTGTATTTATTGGGTATGGGTTAGGGGGCAGGGTAGTGAGCGAAGTTGTCTTTAAGGATAGTGATAGGGTCGTGAGCAATAAACAAGGGATCCACTCCCATTAGGTCACCTAGATTAGGAGGTAGACAGTGTGCAGCAAAGGGTCCACCCTTATTAGGTTATCGAGGCAAGGAGGTGGGCCATGCGCAGTGAAGAGGGTGCAGTGTGCAATATCTCTTGTTTATGGGCGTGCTACTACTAAGACCACCTATAGGAGGATGCTTTAAGTCACCCCGCAGTGACAGAGCTGTCAGGGTCTACTGCCACTTGCTGGCAGCTTCCAATGAGATCTATAGGAGGATGCATTTCCAGCAGCACAGTAACAAGAGCTGATAAAGTTCACAGTCACCAAGGTGCAATTATCTGGAGGGGTTGTGAGCCCTCGGATGCTTGAAGGATTGCTGGTCTGAGGGCAACCTTCCGCAAGAACTGGAGCAAGGTCCTACAACTCCTTTATGGGGAGGAGTGGCTCTTGCCCCAAGCCTGCCATACAGTGGGTATCTTTAGGATACTGAACGCTGCCGCCTGGGTCATGGATTCTTGTCCTGATATAACTGTTTTTCCCTTAAATCATGCTCTGCACCGTGTCTGCTCCAGACATTCCTCCGACTATAAGCTGCTTATTCCTTAATTCATGCTCCGTATGGTGTCTGCTCTAGGCACTCCTCCGACTTTGAAGTAAGATACATTATTATATATATTTAGGGAAATAACTGAGTAGTAACATATTCTTTAGGCACTCATTCTATGAAGTAATATAGGATTATATATAAATGATTATATAACAGGAAATAACTGAGTAGTAACACTATAAACTGAGATATTCTTCAGGCACTAATTGTGCCAGGATTCTGCTTAGCTCTCCTTCGTCGGTGCCTATATTGGGGGTTACCCACATTTATAAAACCTCTGATTTAAAGCTTGCTTTAAAAATAGGAGGGTTACATAGAGGACATGTCAGGGGCATTAATTAATGTTCAGAAATTACACAATGGTGGCCTTGAACCCCTGGGCCAATGAGTATGTCTAATACGGGATGGGCCTTATCATGTCATCCTTGATCCAGAGCCCTATTGGAGATGGGCTCTCTGGAGCCACCATGGCCCAGGCTGCCTACACCACCCACACCTCCTCTGCTTTAGCCTTCCTTTGGCCTGGCCCCAGTTGGCCTGGAATGATCCCCTGTCATCAGCTGTTATTTTGTACTCCTCTTCTCTAAGGTACGGTCTTCATGACAAACTTCCAAACTGTTTTTCTGGCAGATTCTAATTGTGAAAAGCACAACGTCAAGAGCAGTTCGCCAAATGCCTGTTAAATAAATTGAATACACAAAGTCAGTGCCCCATTTGTGTGTGTGTGTGTGTGAGAGTGTGTGTGTGCGCGTGCACGTGCTTCAAATGGGGTTAATAATGCATGGATGTGTATTTCTAAGGGAATGACATTAAAACAGAATGGTGAGGAGGCCTCTTTTCATGAGGTGACCTCCATGAGTCAGCATGAATGGACCCTGCACTTCACAGAAGTTCTCCAGGTACCTGTGATGTGTTTACTGATCCACACTTTTTCTCCTCTGCTCTCCATCACTCCATCCTCACTCTTACCCTTTGGGACCACATACATATGCAAGATGAGGTGGGTGAGTCCCTAGGGAAAGAACTGTGTTTTCAGACGGAATAGAGCCCCATCTACGCTAATAGGAACATTCACACCCAACTTTGGATTCTAGGGGAAGCTTCCTAAGTAGCTACTCAGTATTTATGGTAAGGTGGCAGGTAAACATTGGTCCAACATGCTCCAAATTCTGTCCACCGCCCTCACTTTTTGTGGGGACACAGGAGAATAAGAGCCATCGTGGCCCAAAGGTCCTGCTGCTTCAGAAGAGTCATGAGAGGAGACCACCAAAGCCAGAATGAGGCGAACAGCCTTTTCTCCCCCATTCCCAGCCCAGAAGACATATCATTGCATCTTCCCCAACTCAAAATGGACAATTACAGCATCCAAGGTATTTTGTTGCTCTCTTCATCCTTTAGAGAAACACAATTCCTGCTAATTAAAAATGGAAAGGAAATATTTGGGGTCATTGGCAATCAAAGCAAGGAGATGGTCCCCTGAGCAGTGATCCAGACTCATGATTCACTGGAAAAGGCAGCCATTTGTTCATGCTGTCTTCTTCCTGTGCAACTGCCAGAGTAGAAAACAAAGAAAACAATGGGAGGGTGAAGGAGGCCAGGCCCATTTTTTAAAAAGCATTAAGTTCTTCTCAATACAGCCTTTGCTTTTGGGCCATCTCTAGCAATGCAAGACTTCTCGTTTGCTATTAAAAGTGCTTAATTGTGAGCCCCAAGGTTACACTATGAAGTGATTGCTAAGATAAGTGCCATGATTCCATCAGAATTTTCTCTCACAGGGGTTAAATCAAAGTCCAGTTTCATAGACCTTAACTGATCCCAGTATAAAGCAAGGCTCTGTTTTCTTAGGAAAGCAGGCGTTTTTTGCCATATTGTCCACTATTTCACTCTGTGACCTACACAGTTGCGGATATGAAACGTCAGCAAAGCAGTTGCATGTAATGTGAGACTTCCGTACAGAGAGGAGGTTATTACTACCCAGAGGTGCCAGCATCTAGCAGGAGTGGGGAACATCTAGGAATGCACCTGTGCATGCCCACTGCCATCCTCACCAGATACTTTTGAAACCAACATTTATTATTTCCCAATGTTACCACCTGTCCTTTTTAAATGTCAACTTCCTCAATGCTGTAAGTACCCTCAAAAACAGAACTATAGGATCTAAGCCACAGATCACCATTAGACTGAGTTCTGACCTCTTCTAACCTATGTCCACAGTTGAGC